GCAATACCACTCCTGGGAATATATCCCAGCGAGGCAAAAAAAGTACTGTCTAAATGACATCTGCACTTGTATGTTCATTGCTGCACTGTTCATAATAGCCAAAATCTGGAAAAAACCCGAGTACCTGAGAACAGATGACTGGTTAAAGAAACTTTGGTACATCTACACAATGGAGTACTATGCAGCTGTTAGAAAAGATGAAGTCATAAAATTTACATACAAGCGGTACTGCATGGAAAGTATCATGCTAAGTTAAATGAGTCAGAAAGAGAGAGACAGACATAGAAATATTGCATTCATTCATTCATCATTCATTCATCATCCTGTTAATTGTCGATTGCCTCGAGCAGGCCCCAGTAACGTCTCTTTCATCCTAGCCCTGAGATTATATTCAAGGCTTTTTAGGAGAATGAGACCCATCATCTGGACAAACTTGCAGGCTATCGAATATAGCCTGCCTACAGGGCAGAGTCTGGCAAACTCCCCGTGGTGCACCAAATATGCCAAATACCAGTAACAATGATGGGTCTCTCATTCTCATATTGCATTCATCTGGGGAATATAAAGTAACAAAATAGGAGACTAACACCCAAGAATAACCGAGATAAGGACCAGGAGGTTCACTCCATGGCTTGGAGGCCAGCCACACGTTAACGCAAAAGGCAGCTCACATATAGAAGAGAGTACAAAGTAAAGGGTGTTGGGAAGATCCTCCCAGAATGGGAGATACATGCTGAAAGTAGACTATAGACCAAATATGATTGCCACTCAATGCCTCTTTTGCAAACCACAGCACCCAAAAGTAGAGAGAGAACAAAAGGGAATGCCCTGCCACAGACGCGGGGTAGGATGGGTTAAATGAGGGCGTGGGAGGGATACTGTGATCATTGGTGGTGGAGAATGGGCACTGGTGGAGGGATGGCTACTTGATCATTGTATAACTGAAACCCAAGCACAAAAATTTGTAAGTCTACAACTGTACCTCATGGTGTTTCTCTAATAAAGTTTTTTAAAAAATGACACTCTAGTTATCAAGAAAAAGTGGCAACTTTCAAGAAAAAAAAAGGAATCTTTTATTTTGCATAGTTATCCACACCTAAGCAAATACTTTAAAATAGTATAATCAGCAGGGTTGGAGCGATAGCATAGCAGGTAGGGTGTTTGCCTTGCATGCAGTCGACCCCAGTTCAATTGCTCCGCCCTTCTTGGAGAGACCAGCAAGCTACTGAGAGTATCCGGCCCACATAGCAGAGCCTGGCTAGCTCCCCGTGGCATATTCAATATGCCGAAAACAGTAACAAGTCTTACAATGGAGACATTACTGGTGCCCGCTTGAGCAAATCGATGAACTTCAGGAGGACTGTGCTACAATGCTAAGGCATAATCAGTGCTGGTTCGGAATCACTTTGTGTCTGACTTAGATCTATGGGGTCTCTGAATACACAAGACTAAGCAACATGCAGCATGCACGAAGTACTCGGCACAGTGTGACACAGAGTCAGGCCCCAACAGGAGATTCCAACATGATGACACACAAGGCAACCATCCCATTTCAAAAGCAGAATTCAATGGACATCGCCACGGCCTGGGCGCATTCTCCAGGGCAGGCCCTTCAGGTGCAGACCGAACCGCAAGTTCTCCTTGTAGCCTTTCCTTTCTTTTCCTCCGACCACTACAAACTTCTTTATGGAGTCTTCTTTACGGAGTTCTTTCAAGAAATGGAGTTTTGGATTCTAAGGTGGTACCCAGCTCTTTGGCAGAGGAGCCCATGCCTCATTAAGAATTACCTCTCCTAGAATTTTTCCAGTGCCCCTACATGAGAACATTTAAACTAGAATCATAGAGGCCTTGGGTATAAGAAACTGGGGAGGATGGGATTTATTTTTTCAAATGAGTAACCTGGCCAGGCTGTGCCTCAAATGGAGCACACAGTTAGCTGGTGAGACTGAGTGCTCTGGCCCCTTCCTTCCTCAGGGCACCATGCCATCCAAGCAGTCATGGTGCTAAGTGGCTCACATATCTCTCCCCTCCTCTCCTGCCTCCTCTAGGATCACTGACTACACTTAGTAAAATAGCACACCACTCAAACTCCAGATTCCCCTGTCAGAAACTATCTATCAGGGACACTGCAGTTTGGGAAAAAGCAAGTTCATCCCACTTAAAGGAGATTGAAGAGTTGTGGGGGCAAATTATGGGAGGTCAGAAGAAAGAGAAACTCTTTATCCCTTTGATCTGTAACAATGAAATGCAACCACTTATCAGGTGGCATGAGTGAAATATCTGTTCTAGACAACAAACTTGGCAAGAAGTTTGGGGTTCAAGAAAGCAGAATGTTGAGGCTGGAGAGATAGTCCAGTGGGTAGGGAGCTTGTTAGCAATGCTGGTTTGATGCCTGGCATCCACTATGACCCCCTAAGTGGTGCCACGAGTCATTTCAAGTTCAGAGCCAGGAGTAACCCCTGAGCATCACCGGGTGTTACCCAAAACAAAAAACAACACCCCCCCAACAAAAAAAGAAAAAAAAAAGCAAGATGAGTAGTGATTGAGGAAGCACAGAGGGTAATACCATTAATTGGTCAAGACTGAGCCAAGGATCGATGGGGAGGAGACCAGAGATTTCCAATCAGTGACAGAGTTCCAGCGATCGACACAATTTTAGAGCATGGAGTGGAAAGCTCACTTAGTGCTCTGAACATCACAAGTAGGTGGGCGACTCTCAAGAATGATGTGGGGCTGGTACTATGGAGTAGGAGTAGACCACAAAGGCCTCCTTTTCAGTGAAGGTGGGGAAAGCCTGGTCAATATTGCCTTGAGAATCTGCTCTGGAAAGGATGCAGGAAAGTAGTGACGTGAGGCAATTGAGTGGACTAGCGGCTGGAGAGAAGCTTCACAGAAGCCTAAACTGTATCGTCTGAAGTCTTATTTATAGTTAAGGTGCTTGTTATTGTACCTTAATTTTCCATCAATAAAAAATCAAATACTAGGATGGGGAAGTAAATTGAGAAAACTAAATAGTTTATGTTTTACAATAGTTTATGTTTTACAACCTTGCCTGAAACACAGAGGAAATTCACTGAAAGTATTGTTTTGAGACATATGAATATTAACCCTCAGCCAGGTTCAGAATCTCCTTAAAGCTCACTTAACATGTGCCTACAGCATTGAAATTGCCTCTTGAATGCAAGCTTGTTATGGACTTAAAGTGTTTCCCTATAATCACTGCCACCACATAATTATTGCTGTTTTAAAATAATACCTGCACAAAAATTTTTTAAAAGCATTATATGATGGTTGCATACATTCTTCTTTCTATCCCCAAATTGGGATAAAATCTGTGCCAATTGTACAGTGGAAAATTAAGGATGTTAAGCCTAACCCCCAACATAATGGTATTAAGTGTTCTACCTCCTGAATACCTCCTAAATTCATGAAAAATGGTCTAGTCCCTGATGTTCCATTTGCTCTCAATGTAACAAACAACTCCGAATACAGCAGCTATGTGTACCAGGGTCCAGAACTCAATGTGAGGAAGGACTTGGCACCAGAACTGCGCAGGAGGAAGAAAGCAGCCTTCAAGAGCGTTGAAGAGTTGTTAAGAGGATGAAGAACCTCTGGTTCTGGGCCCATCTTTTCAACTCCACCATTCTTCCTGCACTAACATATGCCTCAGAGACCTGGGCCCTACAAAAACAGGATAAGAATGCTATTTGGATCACCCAAAGAGGAATCAAAAGAGCTATGCTTAGAATATCACATTTCACTCAAGTGAGAGAAGGAATCCAAAGTTCCGACCTCCATTGACGATCAAGAATCAGGGACACTGTCTCATGTGCCAAGGTGTCGAAAATAAGATGGGTGGGACATGTAATGTGATTTAGAGATGACCACTGGACTAGAGCCATTACGGACTGTATTCCACGGGTCGTCAAAAGGATGCATGGCTGCCCACCTACGAGATGGTCAGACTTCTTCGTCAAAACCCTGAATAAACATTTGAGGCTCTTTGTGCTTCTGGAGCGAGCAGATGCCATTGGCGACAGGGATGAATGGAGATGTTACTGGCGCCCACTCAAGCAAATTGATGATCAACGGATGACAAGTGATGCAAGTGGTATTTCCTGAATAATGAGTGTTCTACTTCACAGTATGTTTAAAATTATTAGGGTTTTTTGTTGTTGCTTTGTTTTGGGGCCACATTCAGTGATGCTCCCCTTCGTACTGGCCAGCAGTGACCCCTGATCACTTTTGGATGAGGTCCAAAAGCAAAAAAAAAAAAGGCAAAGCAACATAAATCTTCAATTAGGAAATTAATTCATTAATGTCTAATGCTTGAAAGATGTTGAAAATGGGCAAAGGCATCTCTAGGTTTTTAAGATTCAGTGCTAGTAATGGCACATGGGTTTATTTTTAAAGATAGCAATGGATGTCAGTGTTCAGTCACTGTTCTCCCGTTGGTCATCGATTTGCTCGAGTGGGCCCAGTAATGTCTCCATTGGAGACTTTGTTATTACTGTGTTTGGCATATCGAATACACCGCTGTGCTGCAATTTGAAAAGCAAAAAAGATATGCCATGAGAGCACTGAATTTGGGGAGATGGGGACAACTGGTCATGCTTTGTGGACTTTGTGCCATGCCAGTATCAAAACGGCACCAGCAGCACGCAAGGCAAACGCCGTAACTACTGTGCTCTCCAAACCCCACCTCCCTGTCATGCCCCCTCCCTCACATCCAACACTGAATCTTATGATCTTACTGTCACTTAGACTTGAGGAGTCTAAACAGCGTCATCTACTATTCGTCTATAAATTAGGGATAGAAGGCTGGTAACTTGAAGGAATTAAAAAAAAGGATCTAATAAGTTAGAACTTCAGGAAGCACTGTGTGAATTATACAACACTATACAGGTAAAAATTACAAAAGGTGACAGTAATTTAGGGAATCCAGAGGGGAAAAATACTGCGTCCCTTTCACTTGACAAGACAAACACTACAGATTAACATTCTAAAATCCTAGAGTCATTTATTTAAAATATAAGTAAGACACAAGGCACCCTGGACCGCAAGATTTCAGATTTCAGGCATGAACAAAATAGTACCAGGATTTCAAATTAGCTAACATAATATGTAACATAAAAGGAAGAGAACTGTGACATTCATTAATCTCAATGTACCTCTAAGAAATATATGACATACATAGGCTTTGCCAGTTTCACATTAACAAACATCGAATAACTTATGCCCATATTTCTGTGAACAGCAGGCACTACTCCACAAACACCAAAACTCACAAGAAATTTGCTTTTTAATACTATTGATTTGAAAATTAAAAAACAGGAGGAATGTTAAGTAGCTTTAAAAAAGGTCAAATTCCTGAAAATCAGCACATCATTACAAAGAATGCTATAAGTAGTTTCTCCCAGGAACGATTTCTTTTTAATTTAAAGTATATTCTACCGAGAAAGTAAAAATTCTAGAGGAGGAAAGCAATTTAAAGATTGACTCAATACCTAAAGATGTAGCAAATTATAGATGTTTGTGCTAGCTACTAATATACAGAAGTTTAATACTGACCATTTAACAGGGCATTTATACTGTTCTGAAGTGTCTATTCTTTAAATTTCACTTTAGTTTTTCACGTCAAAGACATGTAGTATTGTTCAGTGGGAAATTATAGCTTATTCTGCACAGATACAGGTAAGCATATACAAGTGTATATATAGAATAAATGTGTTCACCTTCAAATAATAATTTTTTTTTCACTTTGTTTTCTGCCCTGACAGTGCTCCTAAGCTACTCCAGAAGTTACTCCTAATGGAGGACCAAGGGGTGCTGGGGACAAAGCCTGCGGGCAAACCTGTACTGAGCGTTTTGAGCTAATCTCTTTGGCCCAAGAAACTATCTGTAATGTATACAAAAGTAGCCTGTACACAAATGCAGAGTGTATTCTACATGTATGGATAAAAGTGCTTATCATATGAACATGGTCCATTTTAATAATCCTAAAACAAAGGCACACAAAAGGCTAGTTTATATATGCTCCGTGAATATTTTTCATTAGCTTTTAAACATAATTGCCCTCTAGAGATGTGATAAACTTGTAACATATTTCTGCTATTTGGAAATTGATAGTTCGTAACCGTTAAACATTGTAGCTCTGTGCAATTCATATTGATTTGTGAAGCTGCAAGCTATAAACTCACTTTGTAACCTCTATAGGTGAAAAGGTACTTAGGTTTCAACAATTAAGAGACCAAAAAGACCAAGGGAGAAAGCCTTGTAATTAGCTTCCCACAAAAGTTGTTTTGAATCATGTTAGGAGTTGTTAAGCTTTTAAATAACTATAAATACATTATCCTAATATATTTTCGTGAAATGTAATTAAGAACTGCATTTAAGTATTTAATGAATGCTATTTTCCACATATATGCAGAGGGATTCAATAGCCAGCAGCACTTAAGGATAGAAATAGAGCCATCTGTTCTCTTTTCTAAAGTGCTATTTTTAACTGAGCAGATTTACTACTCAGCTTTTCAGTAACTTTTCTGTAAGTTTATAATATATTCTAGGAAATACGAAAAATTGAAAGGATTTAGTATTTCAAGCACTGCCACAGAGCATACGTGAGTGTACTTTGTTAGTGAAATAAATACTGTACCTTACATAAAAATCACTCTGCTGAATTACTTCACAGAAGCATAGGTTCAACAGTATTCATTCCTGTCCTTAGTAATTAAACTAGAAATGGTTTCTCTAAGCAATTCAACTCTGGGTCATCAAATAGGGTCATGAAAAAAGTGAACAATGGCTACACGATTCCCCTGGATTAAAAGCTCAGCACATTTAGACTTTCAGAAGAGAAAACAAGTTATAATCAGAAGAAGAGGAAGTACTTTTAGAGTATCATGGGTTCTTGGAAAGAATTTTCTTTAGATACAGGTTTGTTATTAATTATGTACCTCAATACCGAGGACAAGGTGTTAAAGATAGTTGAGAAAACCAAACTACGGATTAATTTAAGTGAACATTGCCTTCTTCAATGACTAAAGCGAAATTGAAAAAAAAATTGAACCCATGTAGGACACTAACAAGATTTTCCCAACCCCTCAATATTATATTCTCTTAGCATTTCTTAGTTTCAACTAACTTGACCTTCAGTAGTACAAAATCAAAAAAATCTAGAACAGCACGTAGCTTTGTTTCACACTATCGGTTTCAATACAATTTGAGGTTCTTTTTGTTCTTCGAAGTGTAATCACTTTTAAAAACAGAACGCGAAAGAATCTCACACCCTTCCTAGCAGGCATGCAGCCCTGCTTGGCAGCATCAGCATCTTCCTTCGTCAATTCCGCACTTCCAGTTTACATCTAGAAACGGAATCAGGGCGTGGGGAAGAAGTCGAGATCGAACTCAGGCGAAGTCACATGTGCCCACCGCAACCCAGCACGGAAAGAGAGGAGTGGGTCTGTCTCTCCGGTCCTTCCCTCCGCCTGGCTGTGCACTCCAAGGCAAAGGCGAGTCCTGGGTCTCCTGGACGGAACAGCGCCTACCCGAACACACTGGACTTGGGCCTGAGTCTGGGCGCGGCCGGGTGTGCCTTGGGCGCCCGCTCCCCCTCCTCGTCCTCCTCGTCCTCCTCCTCGAGGGGCGGCTCGGGCGGTCTGCAGGGGGCCGCGCCCGGGACCCCCTGCGTGCGGAAGCGGAGCCGGCCGAGCCGGGGCCGGGCGCGCGCGGCGTGGGGACCCCTGCGCGCCGCGCCGCCCTCGGTCCCGGGGTGCGGGGGGTCCCCGGCGTCCTCGGCCGCGTGCGCCGGCCGGTGGGCGAGCAGGTGCGCGGGCAGGACCCGGGAGAGCCTCCAGCGCCCGCTCCCGCCGCCGGCCGCGCCGCCCTCCGGCGCCTCCTCCTCCAGGGCGCCCACCAGGCTCCGGATCTCCTCGGCGGTGCCGCGGCTCAGGTACTGCGAGGCCTTCCTACCGCTGTAATCCCTGGCATCCACGTCGGCGTCGTAGGCGCCCACCAACAGCTTGACCACTTCCACGTGGCCGTGCATAGCCGCCAGGTGCAGGGCGGTATAACCCCCGCTCGTCCGGGCGTTGATGTCCACGGGCAGCCGGTGCTGGCCGGCGAAGCTGACCAGCATGGCCAGGAGCTCGTGCCGGCCGTGCTTGGCGGCCCAGTGCAGGCAGCTGTAGCCGGTGATGAAGTCGCGCTTGGTCAGCAGCGCGGGCTCGCAGCTCAGCAGCCCCTCCAGGCCGTCCCAGCGGCCGTCGGCGGCCGACAGCATCCAGGCGTGCTCCAGCGGGTCCAGCGTCACCGCGCCGCCGCCCTCGAGCTCCGCCGCAGAACCCGCCGACGCCGCGTCCGGCTCACCGCCGGCCCGTCCTCGCGCGCCGCCCGGCGCGGGGCCCCGCCGGGGCTGCGGGGATCGGCCGCCCGGCGCGGGCTCCCGGCGCGGGTCCGGCGGGGCGGGCGCGGCGGGCGCGGCGTCGGGGCTCCGGGCGCGGCCGTCGCCCGCTCCCGGGGGCGCCCCGGGGCCCCCGTGCCCCGCCCCGGCCGGCGGAGAGCCCTCGCGGAACTGCCTCTTGAGGTGCACGTACTTGGTGCCGTCCGCGGGGTCGGTGCGCACCGTGGCCACCGCATTGACCAGGTCCTTGAAGCGCGCGCGGGCGCGGGCGCGCTGCTCCGCCTCCCCGCCCAGGGCGGCCCTGAAGTGCCGCACCAGCTCGGCGTGCGGCGCCCGGCCCCCGCGCTCTGCCAGGAAGCCCAGCACGGCGTCGGGGCCGAACGGCAGCGCGTCCATCGGGGTCAGGTCGGCCCCATCGCTGCCGGCGCGCCAGCCCCGCTCTCTCGGCCGCGCCCCGACACCGCGCCCGTCCCGGCCACCTCGCCCGCCCCGGCCACGCCCACTTCCGGTTCCCGCGCCTCACTCTCGGCCCGCTCGCGCCACGCCCACTTCCGGCCTCCTGCCGGCCGCCGCGGCTCCTGTGGTCACCCTTCCCGCTGGGAGGGCGCCTGCCGTGATTCCCGCGGCACCGGCTGCCGGGCTCTGAACTGGGAGCCCCAGTCGCCCTTGCGTCGCCGTGGTTACCGGCACGCCCAGGCCACGCCCCTCTCAGCGCGCCCCGCCCAGACCCCGCCCCTCCCCCGACGCGCCCCGCGTCGCCGTGGTTACTAGGAAGCCCCGCCCAGACCCCGCCCCGCTCTGTGCGCCCCGTCTGGTCCTCCCCTTTCCCGGCGCGCCCCGCCCAGAGCCCTGGCCTTTCCCGGTGCGCACAGGGCGGGGCGGGGCACAGGAGCCCAGGGCTCTGGGTCACCTCTTCTCGTCACCCCGCTCCCTCCCGGCTCGCCCCGCCCTCCCCTTCCCTGTCACCCCTCTCCCTCTCGAGGTGCCCCGCCCCCGACCGGGTCGCCCCGCCCCCTCCGGATGGCCCGGCCCCCGACCGGGTCGCCCCGCCCTCTCCCGGCTCGCTCCGCTCCTTCCCGGCTAGCCCCGCCCCCTTCCGCCTCGCCCCGCCCCCTCCCGACTAGCCCCACCCCCGGCCCGGCCCCCCTGCCCGTTAGCTCCAGGCCGGTCCCGCGCTTTCCACCCGCGGGTCCCTCGTCTCTCCCGGCAGCCGGGGCGCTCCCCAGGGGCCCCTTCCCGCCTTCCCGCGGTTCCGCACGGCACCATGGCCTCGGAGAAGTCGCGGCACCTGGTGAGTCTCGGCAGGCCCTCCCTCAAGTCCCCTGGTCCCGGGACCCCGCCCTGACTGACCCGCGGGCTGGGGTCGCCGCTGCCGGCGCGGTGGGATCAGGCTGCCACTGTGCCGCCCCCCGGGCTCCTGCCGCCCCCCGGGGCTCCTGCCGCCCCCTGGCTCCAGCCGAGCCCCTGGGCTCCTGCCGGTCCCCTGGGCTCCTGCCGTCCACTCGGGCTCCTGCCGGTCCCCTGGGCTCCTGCCGTCCACCAGGACTCCTGCCCTCCCCCTGGCTCCAGCCCAGCCTCAGGGCTCCTGCCGGCCCCCTGGGTTCCTGCCGTCCTCCTGGGCTCCTCCTGGTCCCCTGGGCTCCTACCCACTCCCCAGCCACTGCTGCTCCCCTGGGCCCCTCCCAGTCCCCTGGGCTCCTGCCACCCCCCTGGCTCCTGCCGCCCCCCTCGGCTCCTCCTGGTCCCTTGGGCTCCTGCCGCCCCCTCAGCTCCTGCCCCTCCCCCTGCTCCTGCCCTTCCCTCCTGCCCACCCTGCTGGATCCTCCCGCCCTGCTGGGCGCTTGCCGCCCCCTTGGGGTGGGACTGATGGCTTCCCAGGTAGGTCTGCCCTTCAGCCCTTCCAGGTTCCTGGAAGGGGGGCGATCATGGGGGTGCAATGCAACCTGGTAAGGCATGCAAGGCAAGCTCCCTGACAGTTGTACTTTGCCCGGCCCTCTGCGATTATTTTTATAACGGTTTTGAACACACAAAACTTAACACAAACCCAGTGGTATCTTCTTGTTCAACCATGGGGTTGCCCAAATGGCCCACCATTTGGACCTGAGGCTTATTTTTGTCATTACACCCTTTTTTCTTTAAAAAGAATGTGTGATTTGTTCGATATGCCAAAAACAGTAACAACAAGTCTCACAATTTGTTGTGAGACGTTACTGGTGCCCTCTTGAGCAAATCAATGAACGATGGGAGGACAGTGCTACAGTGCTACAGTGATTCGTTTAGTATTTTTAAATTCCTTTCATGTACCTTGTTAGGTTTATCTTTGCAGTTAAGTCACTGGACCTTGATTTTCATGTTATTTGCCTTTCTCAGTTTTTGTTTAAGAGTGACCATGAATTTTCTGGAGGCTTCATGCTGTGCAATGACCTCACTCTCCTGCCGGACAGTGAGTGTGTCTCTGTGGACACTAATCTAAGAAGGTTTCTCCATCAGTATTTAATACTGTAAATATCACTGGTTGCTTCTGCAAGCTGAAGCTCCTTGGGCGCCTGAAGTTCATATTGTAGCTACTGTACTAAATGCTGCAGTGATGACGGTGGACTTATGTCCCATATGTCCTTTTGAATGAATGTCTGTATGTCCTGGGAGAAGCTACTCAGAAGTGGAATTGCATGGTCATATGGCGGCTCAATTCTTACCTTTTTTGAGAAATCTTCGTGCTTTTCCATAATACCCTAGAGTATGTGCACCATTTTCCTAGGTGTTCGTGTTCTAGTATAGGCATTCTGTGTATATAGTGATACTGTATTGTGTTAGTGGGTTTTATTTGTTGTTTTGTGTTTCTAGGAATCAAATCAAGAGCCTCACACATGCAAGGCTAAGTTTATATCCCAGCCCTCACACCTAGAGATGCTCAGGGGTTACTCCTGGTTCTGCACTCAGGAATTACTGCTCAGGGGACCACATGGGATGCTGGGGATCAAACCAGGGTCGGCTATGTACATGGCAAACACCCTACTCACTGTACTATCACTCAGGCCCCCTAACTTGCATTTCTTTTATGATTAATGGTGCCAGATATCATTTCGTGTGCTTATTTGCCATCTGCATATTATCTGGTAAAATATTCTTCAAACTCTTTTTTTAATTCATAACTTTGCTTTTACTGAATCACTTTATGTTTGAACTTTGTATAAACACCATGATTTACAAAATTGTTCATAATATAGTTGTTTCAGGTATCAGTGTTCCAATACCAATCCCACAATCAATGTGACCTTCCTCCAGCAAATGTCCTTAGTTCCCCACCTACCTCCCAATCCTACCCCTTAGGAGGAACAAAATAATTATTTTATATTGTTTGTTACAATATGTGTCTCACAATGGTGTTACTAAAGTCATTGAGAATTTACTGAGCTTTGGGTGCTAGTTCAGCCTTCTGTGTTTTCAGTTGTTGAACAACTATGTCGCGTTCCATTGTGTATATATACCGCATCATTATGACCCACTGATCTGTTGTCATACATCTAGGTTGATTCCAAATGTTAGCTATTGTACTGAGTTCTGCAATAAATAGTGGTGTGCATATGTCCTTTTGAATGAATCATGTTAAATGAAGCAAGATGGAAGAGTAAACATAGGATGATATCACTTATATGTGGTATTTAGAGTAACTGGATGAGGAAATGCAGTGGTTTAAAGAGAGGGTACCTGATCACCCATTAGCCCCAGAGTATAGGGAGGAAAAGGAAAGGAATAGAGTGAAGGGTAAGGGGGGAAGTGATAGATGAGAAGCAACGGGGCAGGGGTGAAGGGCATTCAGGTCCATCGGTGGAGTTAAGGAATCATAGAGCTGAATATTCAAACCGCAGAGTTAACAACAATGAAATCACGAGATCCCAACGATAACCAAACTCAGGAGCCTATTAAGATGGCAGGTTGGCTTCATCTTTTCTAACAGCTACATAGTACTCCATTGTGTAAATGTACCAAAGTTTCTTTAACTAGTCACCTGTTCTCGGGCACTCAGGTTTCTTCCAGTTTCTGGCTACTGTAAAGAGTGCTGCAATGAACAAACAAGTGCAGATGTCACTTCGACTATACATTTTTGCCTCTCTGGGATATATTCCCAGGAGTGGTGTTGCTGGGTCAAATGGGAGCTCAAATTCTAATTTTTTGAGAATCGTCCATACTGTTTTCCAAAAGGGTTGGCCCAGTCAGCATTCCCACCAGCAGTGAAGGAGGGTCCCTTTCTCACCACATCTGCGCTAGCACTGTGGTGGTGGAGGATGGGCACTGGTGGAGGGATGGGTACTTGATCATTATATAACTGAAACCCAAGCACAAAAATTTGTAAGTCTATAACTGTACCTCATGGTGTTTCACTAATAAAAAAAATAAATGAATAAAAAAAAACCCCAAGAAGATGGCAGGTTGGGGTTGGGGGCGGGGGGTGTGGGGGAACCAGGGAACACTGGTGGAGGGAAGCTGACAATTGTGATTTATTTTAATAAAATAAAATTTGGGAGAAAATAAACAACTTAGTGGGCTTCTGTGCAACTTTCCCATCTAATTGTGGACAATCTGGTCCATGAAATGGGGAGGATTTGTGCAGTTGCATATGCTCCAGAATCTATGGGGCTGTGATGATCAGCAGCTAGCTTTCTCTCTCTTTGAGATGAGTGGTGGAGCTGGACTTCTGTGGGTGGGTCGCCTGGCCTTCAGCTCCAGATATCTCAGCCAGAGATGGCTATCTGGGATGACTCAGCAACAGTGTCTCTCCTTTCTAAAAATATTAGAAACTTCATTTATCTTGTATCACACTGAGTTACAAAATTAAAAAATCATTCAGATTAAGTTTCAGGTGTGCAATATTCCCACATTAGTCCCTTCACCAGTGTCCACTACTCTCCACCAGTGTGTCCAGTCCCTCCGCCCCCAGCCTGCCTTTTTGCCTTCACTGTTGGCTCAGTGCTCCCTTCTCTGAGTAGTGCTCCCTCTCCACCGGTCCCAGTGGTCAGCTTCCTACTGAAGGCCAGTTCTCCTGTTCTTTCTCACTGCCTTTGGGCATCTGCTCTTTCCCTTACTATTTCTTATATTTGGCATTGACAGAGATTGTTCTGTGTCTGTCCCTCTGCCCTCGCTTCACACAGCACGATAATCTCCATGGCCATTCACATAGCACAAATTGCTTGACTTCATCTTTCTTACTGCTGAGTAATATTTCATTGTGTATATGTACCATCATTTCTTTATCCAGTCATCTCTGTACTTGGGCAAGTGTATCGTTTCCAGCTTTTGATTCTTGTGAGTAGAGCTGCAGTGAACAAAGTAGTGCAGATATGTTGTTCTGCATCTTATGTTTTAGCATGTTCCCAGGAATAGCTTGATAGACCATGGAAGTTCACCATTGACATCTCAGCAGCATTGAATGAGGGTCCATTTTCCCCACACCCATACCAGTGAAAGTTGTCATTCTTTTTGATGAGTGCTTATCTAGTCTCTATGATGTGAGCCGATATCTTATTGTTTTGATTTGCATTTCCCTGATGATTAGTAATACAGAATATATTTTTCATTTGCTGTTTGGCAATTTGTATGTCTTCTTTGAAGAAGTTTCTATTTATCTCTTCTCCCCAAATTTTGATAGGATGGATGTTTATTGTAAGTTTATATGTCTTAGATACGAACCATTTATCCGATGAGTATTGGGTAAATAATTTCTTTCAGTTGATGTTATGCCTTTCTATTCTGGCCATTATTTCCTTTGAGGTGTTGAAGCTTCTTAATTTAATGTACTCTCATTGGTTTATCTTTGCTTCCACTTGTTTGACCAGTGTCATTGCAACCTTGAAAATGCCTCTAGCTTCAGTGTCATGGAGAGTTCAGTTATGTTTTACACAATGTAATTTACAGATTCAAGTCTGAAAATCATTTTTAGTTGGCTTCTGTGTGTGGTGTTAGAAATATGTCTGAGTTATTTATTTTTGCATATAGTTGACCAGTTTTCCCAACACTACTTGTTGAGGAAGCTTTCCTTGTTCCATTTCATATCTTTTGCTCCTTTATCAAAGAGCTTTATCACATACCTTAGGATCTTTCTCTGGATTCTCAGTTCTAGTTCACTGATAAGTGACTCTGTTCTATCCCAGTACCAGCTGTACTTTAATTACTGTACTTTAATTACTACCTCTGCCAGATCTTTCATGTATGAGGTCCGTCCGGATGTGTGGAGAGTGGTCCCAGCATGGCTGGCTCTGGAGGTCCTCAACTGCTGGTGCTCTGCTCAGGGCG